TGATGTAGGTGCTTATGTAGGTGGGTTCCGACTGGCGGCGAAAATCGAGTTGCGTTGTGCTGTAGGAAAGGATCTCCGACGTAACCCGAGGACGTACTGTGTTACCCTGATATCAAATCCAGAGACGTTATAGGAAAATACAGGCCCATCTCTCTTATGAATATGGATGCAGGAATACTCAGCAAATCAACAAACGGAATCCAGCAACATATAAAAAGAATTAACACTATGACCAAGTGGCATTTATCCTAGAGGCCCTAGTTGGGCTTAACATGCAAAAGTGACTATATTGTTTTTTTATTTTCTATATTTTATGAAGTTTTGACATCCTGGGGTATAGACACTGCCCCTCAAGGGCTAATGAATTCCTAGAGATAGAAAACCACTTGCCTTTCATGCAAACCAACAAATCCAATGTCCATGTCCCAGACACCTAACGCCCACCAACACACAGGCCAGTATTCCTCTCCCCTACATCACACCCCAGGCGGGCACCTGACAACTAGAGGCCACCCCCACAGCCTAGAGCCCCCGAAATTACGCAAATTATCCAATCCTAGAATTGCTCAAAACTGCCCGTGCCCGCCATTCCTTCCTACAGAAACTAAGCGAAGATGGTGGGCGTGTACTCCTTGAGCCTCACACCTTCCCTGACCTTGATGTTGTCGCACGTGGCTCCGTGTGGCAAGTTCCAGTCTCTGACACCTTACTGCACCCAACCAATCCTGGGCGTCCTTACAGTGACCATGTGACACATGGTATCAAGACTGGAAACCAGAAGCCACCTCTCAACAGGTGCAGAAAACACATTTGACAAAGCACACTTTTCATGATCGTCAACAAATGAGGACTAGGATGAACCAATCTGATAAAGGCCACCTACAGACACACCCATAACTAGCATCATACTTAATGGTCAAGATTGAATATGATCCCAAGGGTCAGGAAGAGGGCAGAGATTTCTACTCTTTTTTTTTTTTTTAAATATATTTTATTGATTTTTTTTACAGAGAGGAAGGGAGAGAGATAGAGAGCCAGAAACATCGATGAGAGAGAAACATCGACCAGCTGCCTCCTGCACATCTCCCACTGGGGATGTGCCCGCAACCCAGGCACATGCCCCCGACCGGAATCGAACCCGGGACCCTTCAGTCCGCAGGCCGACACTCTATCCACTGAGCCAAACCGGTTTCGGCGAGATTTCTACTCTTAACACTTTTTCGTCCTTACAGTGACCATGTGACACATGGTATCAAGACTGGAAACCAGAAGCCACCTGTCCTCTCAACAGGTGCAGAAAACACATTTGACAAAGTACAACACTTCTCATGATCGTCAACAAATGAGGACTAGGATGAAACAATCTGATAAAGGCCATTTATAGACACACCCATGACTAGCATCATACTTAATGGTCAAGACTGAATATGACCCCAGAAAACTGTTCTAACAGTATCAAAAAGAACAAAAGACTTCGGCATAGAGACAGACCAATGGTGGCTTAGGGCTGGGGGAATAAGGATGATAGCTAGAGGACACCCCTTTTTTTGAGGCGATAAAATGTTCTACAATGTACTGTTGTAATCTATGTCCATGAACATACTAGTAAACACTGTACACTTCAGGTGAGAGATTTGCATGAAATGCAAGTTATATCTTAAACCCCTGAAGAGATTACGATGAAAAAACCACCTGTAACAGCTGATACTAAGAGTACTTGTCAGGCACAGTGCTCACTGACTTATACACTATTTCATCTCATTTTTATAACAATCTGTGACATATCCATTTTGCACTTTAGGAAACAGGCTCAGAGATCTTAAAATCTTGCTCAAGGCTACAAGGTGGGTAAGGGAGAAAGTCAGGTTTTGAATTCATGTTCCTCTGACTTCAAAAGCTGAGAATGTATTGCCTCTTATAACGAAGTCTCAAAAAGTTGGTTCTCTGATCCCACAATGGAGATAGACGGTGTATGAAGTTAGGAAGTAGGCAGAGTCCTGGTCGCCCCGGAAAGCTGTCCAGGTGTGATCGCCAACCACCTGCCCTCACATCATCTCCAGTTCCTCCTTGTCGCGCCTTGCTACTATTCTAGCTTACACTCACCCACTTGGGCAGTGGACTTGAATGAGGTGCCATCTTTTTGAAGAGGGGTCTTAAAGGCTGTAAATATGTAACTGTCTGTCTGCTTCTACATCCTTTGGTTTAAAACTTGCGGTTGCTCTAGTAATATTAAAAGCCAGTGAGAAGTAAACCCCGAAATAGCTACTTTCAGTGCGTTGATTGGTTAGGATATAAAACCATTTTATTTCCTTTTTTTGGGGAGGGGGGCATTTAATTCACTGACCACAAGTCAGTTGACATTTTTAGTTACCTAGTTACAGACCTGCCTGGCTGCTGGGTTGTTTTCTGCGACATGGATGAATGCCAAGGGCAGAACTGCTACAAGCTGAAATGTACAGATGCTTGGACTAGTCTTGCGGGACCAGGGGGAAAGGAGCAGGTGGCACAAGTGGGAAAGGCCTCTGTAAGGTCGTCAATACCTTCTATCCTGTTCGGGATCCGTTACTGCCCAACAAGCCTGGGGGGAGGGGGAGGGGAGGGAATCTCAGCAAACCCCCCTCCAAATCTCATTTTCCCCGGTGCTCATCTCCAATGCTCTGGCTCTAGGAAATCGAGATCTGTCGAGGCACAACTCCACCCGACCTTTCTCTGGGTGCCGAGACTGACGATCTACCTTAGCGCCACGTGCGCCTGCTGCACGTAAACCAGACGTAAAGCTGTCAGCTACTGGGAACAAAGGGTTTCCCTCCAAAGCCTGTCTCTGTGTCTCTAGGGCAGCGTTCACCCACAGAGACTGTCAAGTTTGCTAAATGGGCTGACTGTTCAGAATTACTTTAAATAGCTAATGCATTGGTAATCCAAGACAAACTATTGCTACAAGATCTTATAGAGTGATGAATCTAACCCAGCCGTGGGCAAACTACGGCCCGGGGGCCGGATCCTGTTTGAAATGAGTGAAACTAAAAAAAAAAAAAAAAAAGACCGTACATACCCTTTTATGTAATGATGTTTACTTTGAATTTATATTAGTTCACACAAACACTCCATCCATGGTTTTGTTCTGGCCCTCCGGTCCAGTTAAGAACCCATTGTGGCCCTCGAGTCAAAAAGTTTGCCCACCCCTGGTCTAATCCATATTTTATCCTAAAATGTAGCAACAGTTTTTACAAAAAGTTATAAAAATACATTTATACATAAATGCCTCTATAAAACAGTTCATTCAGATTTGGCAATTTGTTTGCTTATGGTCTACTGTTGAGGGAAAAAAGTATGTTTATTACCGATAGTCACCACCTGTCTATATTTACCAAACTGCATGGCTTTAAAAATTATTAACTTGATAGTACATTTCTCTTGTCAATTTTTTTTATTGTGCTACTTGTGCAAAGGATGAAATTAAGTGTTTACTGAATTATTTAGATCTTTAAATTACTCATTTAACAAGTTCATTTAAATAAGTTTACTATTCCATAAATGACAAGCAGCTTAAATACAAGTTTGATAACTAAAATTTTAAAAATAAAATATGTCATAGTCAAATTTCCGACAAGGCAAGGGAACACTGATCACTAAGTGACTAAAAGGCCGCACACACGGCTACTTCCACAGTCAGTACTTGGTGTAGGCATTTGCATCATCCTCTCATTATTCGTATTGCCGTTTGGTAGAAAAATAATATAGAAAGCACACTCCTTATGCTTAATGTTAAAAGTTCAGCCAACAAAAGCAGTTTGCTTCTAGACAATCAATTATTAATGGTCCATTCATTACACACTATCCATTACCTCTTATAAATTATTTTACAACACTTACTTATTGATGAATTTTATAGCCTACACCAAGTATCACCACGTAATTGCACAGTCATACAACAGAGAACAGTGTTGTTTTTCTTTTCCTTTTCCCACATCTACTCACACACTTTCCCATCCTCAATGGTCTGTGCCTGAGGTCCTGTCCTGTGAGAATCTGCCAGTTTAAAAACCTGAATATTAAGGGATTTCTGTGATTCAGTAGCAAGCTCCTTCAAAGCAGTAATAAAATTTCTTCAGACTTCACGTTCTATCAGTATTAGCTGCACACAAGGTACAATGAATATCCATGAGAGATTTTTTTTACATTCCCCTGCTTCTCAAACCCTTTTAAGAAGTTGCTAGTGAGCAGTGAACCGGTCAATCTAACCTGGATAATTAGTCTCTGAATAAATTAGAGACT